TTATATGCCTCGTATCTAGTAGATTTGTGTTCGAGTGTCTGCTTTCCTATTCTTGTTCTGTATTTTTCGAAAGTGTCAGTACAGTGGGACGAGCTGGATACCCGTTCAAAATGTGCCCCGAGGAAGTTTGCCTTATCTTCCAAGGTATCACCTTGAGTGTTTACGAGTGGAAGTGTGTGTACTTGTTTCCCTGCTATTCTACCGACCATGTTCCAGACTTTGGCCTCTTGTGTGTATGAATTGATCCCTGACAAAAACGTCTGCCAGCTTTCTCTTCTGGCCTGCCGACGCGTTCTCCTAGCTTGAGACTTTATTTTCTTGAAAGTGTCAAGATTTTCGCAAGTCGGTGAGTTCCGAAGCAGCCTCCAAGCTCTGTTTTGCTGTTTGCGCGCGTTTCGGCATTCAGAGTTCCACCATGGCACACGCCGTTTTCCAGGGTGTCCATTTGTTTGTGGGATGCATTTTGTTGCAGCATCAATCAAAAACGCTGTGAAGAAGTTGACAGCAACATCAATGTTCAAAGTACATATGTCATTCCAACCTAGACGAGCGATGGTATAAAACTGTTTCCAGTCGGCTCTGTTTATGAGCCACTTGGAAACACGTGGTGGACACTCAGTTACTGTATTTGTGCTCAAAACTACGGGGAAGTGGTCGCTTCCGTACAAATTACTGACGACTTTCCACTGGAGTAGAGACACAAGGAATGGAGATACTATGCTTAGGTCCATGGAGGAGTAGGTGTTATTGGTGAGATTATAATAGGTTGGTTCTTTTCGGTTTAGGAGACACGCGCTCGACGAGAGAAGGAACTGTTCGATCAGTCGACCTCGCGCGTCATACCGAGAGTCACCCCATAGCCTGCTATGCGCAATGAAGTCTCCAAGGAGAACATAAGGTTCCGGAAGTTCATCAATTAAAGAGTGTAAATCACGTTTTTGCAGCTGATAGCTAGGAGGAATGTAAATAGTGCAGATTGTGATCAGTTTATCAAAAAGAACCGCTCGAACAGCCACTGCCTCAAGGGATGTTTGGAGTTGTAAGTGTGTGCATGCAATTCCTTGATTCACTATGATGGCAACACCTCCGGATGATGTCATGGCATCATCACGGTCCTTTCGAAAAATAGCGTATTTACGAAGAAAATTTGTGTGTTTTGAATTAAGGTGTGTTTCTTGTACACACAGCATTTTTGGTGAGTGTTCATGTAAGAGTTCTTGGATGTCGTCAAGGTTTCTGAGAAGGCCCCTGACGTTCCATTGTATAATTTGAGTGTCCATGGTGAATGTAAAATAATGCTGTGTGTACGAAAAGCGAGTGGCTGTTTAGACGGGGAGTTTGAGTTCACTTAACAGGGCCGTCACCAGGCCCTGTTATTTGCTTTTTTGCTTTGTTGGCGCGCTCCAAGGAGCCACGCCGCTCTTTCGGCACCAAGGGTGCCGACGTATCCATTGCCACCTCGGAGGCACTGGATGCCCGCACGTGCGGGCTGTTAGTTCAGATTTTGGGCCTCGCCTGGTGAGGGGAGGCCTTGAGACCCGAAGACTCTGGAGTCTCCGGTCTCTGTTTGGGAGTAGGTGGTGTAGCCTGGGCTACAGCCGCCTTGGGGGCAGGTGCCACAGCCGACGGCTCGCTCTGCGCGGGCCGAAGGGGTGGCGAGGGCTGGTGCGGCGGTGCCCCCTGACGCGCCGCATCAGCGTATGTAGGTCCATAGAATGGAGCGACTCTTCGCCGTGCTTCCTTAAACGTAATGTTCTCCTTCACCTTCAATGTATATATTTCTTTTTCTTTTTTCCAGTATGTGCAGGAGCGTGAATATGCGGAATGGTTTCCTTCGCAGTTTACACAGTGTGGCGGTTGTTTGCAGTTCTCAGACACGTGGCCTAGGACTCCACATTGTGCACAAGTCTGGCGACCACGACAGGTTTTAGAGCCATGGCCATACCTCTGGCATTGGAAGCAACGACGAGGGTTTGGTATATACGGCCTGATAGATGTCTTTGTGTACCCTGTTTGAATGGAATCTGGTAGTTTACAGGATGCAAACGTGAGTATCAAGTGTTTCGTTGGTATTTCCTTATTATCTCTTCTGATGATAATTCTCTGTACATTATTGACATTTTGGCTCTTCCACCCTTCCAAAAGTTCAGTCTCGGTGAGCTCAAGTAAGTCTGCATCAGATATCAGTCCGCGAGTGATGTTCATGGATCGGTGTGGTGTTACAGTGATCGGTACGTCACCAAACGTTGAGAGGCTGTTTAGCTTTACAAATTGTGCTTTGTCCCGAATTTCTAGAAGAAGGTCTCCGCTCGCCATTTTGGTTACTTTGTATCCAGCCCCGAAAGTTTCCGTAAGACGCCTGGCAACTACGAAAGGAGATACGGTCCTGGCTTGCTTTCCGTTTTTTTCACAGTGAATGACGTGGAAGTGGGGAAAAGTTTCTATTGGCTGGTTGAAGAGATTTATGTCGTCGGTGCGTACCCGCTTTAGGCCGGTACGATCAGATAGTAGAGGGAATGCGCCATGCATGCCGGTCTTATTTTTGTTCAGCAGCGTTGGCGGCCACCCACCACGGAGCCCAACAAGGGGACGCTGCAAGTTTACAGGTGCTGAAAGCTTGCAGACGTCAGCCGTACAACACTGCCATAACCCAATGCGCCTAGACCAAGGTAGGCTATTTGCACAGGGTTAACCCTTGCCGCCAGAAAAATTGGAAGTAAACAGAAGAGAGTAGAAGACAGGACAGATAGATAGTGAGAGATAAAGACGAAGATATAGGCAGAGAGAGATAGGAAAAGGCGACTGCCAATTTCCCCTGGGTGGGTCAGCCCAGGGGTGCCGTCTACGTGAAGCCGGGGCCAAAGAGGTGTGTTGCCTCTGCCAGGGGGCCTTAAAGGTCCAATCACCCAGCGTCGGCTCAACCCCCAGGATCCCCTTTTCCCCGGACACGGCAAAGCCACGCACGGCTAGGCGTGGGAGGGAGTAGAAACTCCCCCGTTAGCTCGGGTCCGTGGTGTCGCTACACACCAAACGCCTACTTGCGCCGGCGCCCCTGCGGGGAGATGACACATTGTTGTATATCAACAAGTGTAATGCATCGTCGGCGATACCCTTTTGAATATGCGCTACTTTGTCAGACTCGGGCATGTTTTCATCAGCTTGGCGGCATAGTGCAAGGACCGCCTGAATGTAACAGATGTAAGACTCCGAAGAAGTTTGTGCGCGAGTCAACAACTCATCCTTCGCATCTTGACGACTACCAAAGGGGTTCCTAAAAGCTCACAAATCTTTTCTTTGAAGCTGTCCCAGCCTGTCATGTCATGCTCTTGATTTTACATCCGAACACGAGGGGTTCAGTCGAGATAAAAGATGACGTTCACGAGCACAAGTGTGGAGTACCACTTGTAAGTGGCTCTGACGCGTTCGTAGATGCGGAGCCACTTTGGACATCGGAACCCTCGTGGCCCGAGAACACGCCAGGGTATTTGAGGGCGGAAAGCGTCACGAAAGTTTTTGATGATTTATATGTGGAGTTTAACGTCCCAAAACCACCGTATGTATATGAGAGACGCCGTAGTGGAGGGCTCCGGAAATTTTGATCACCTGGGGTTCTTTAACGTGCATTAAAATCTGAGCACACGGGCCTACAACATTACTGCCTCCATTGGAAATGCAGCCGCCGCAGCTGGGATTCGATCCCGCGACCTACGGGTCAGTAGCCGAGTACCTTAACTAGACCAACGCGGCGAGGCGAAAGTTGTTGCGGGCGCTGGGTTGGCAGGCCGGGCAGAAGGGCGGGTGACCGTAGAGAATGTAGCCGAGTCTTGAGAGGTCATGTTGAAAGCCGCGAGAGAGCATCCGCTTCGGAGTTCCGTGGTGAAAACGGTGATCATAGAACTCCTCCAAATATGTTACAAAAAAGAGACCGATTCGGAGGAGTAGTCACAGATGTATTTACAGACGGTTAAGCGAGCAGCGCCAGCCACAGAGATTAGCTCGCGCCAGTTTGTCTGCTTTGACTTCTCCATCTCCATGCATGTGGAAATATAACCAGTTGTTTGCACTTGCGCGATGCCAACTGGAACATGCCTATCAGCAACACCAGAAGCTGATATGAAGCGCTGCTGCTCACGAAGATGTTGTCCCTGGACACTGTTACAGAAATCAAATCCAGTGCATGGCAACAAACCGCAATCGACGCTACCTCGAAGTGACGGCTGTATCAAAGGAGTACATATGTATTGTTTATGTAATTGGGTAAGCAGCAATGCAACCATTATTGACGTTTCACGAAGATTAGCGTCTATTCAAAAAATAAATCCGAGACCTCACGTAGCTCCGTAGTAAAAGTCAGGGTCCAGTTGAGCCCTGACATTTCTTTTTTTTTGGCCTTCGTCTGGTCGACGGCACCAATGTCGGGTATTTCTTAACACTCTCGCGGTAAATATGGTCGTCTGTGTTCTCGTTGTTCCTCGGTAGAAACTAAGTGTCAATCACCCATGGCTCATACCCGTTTACCAGAAGCATATACCCAACCGTGGAATTGTGCCGCTGACTGGCGAGAAGTGTTTGACGATGCACGTGACGGCATTGAGAAATTATTCATATCTTGCTCAGCGCATGATATTCATCAAACCATCTTACCCTCCCATGCTAATTTTCGTTTACGCCAAGCTGTATGGGCGACCACGACTGCACCCAAACGTAAGCGGCTAGATAGATAAATAGATAGGTACGCTCAAATTCGCCGAAGTACGCTAAGCAAAGCTTCGCATTCATTATTTATACAGGGGTGAAGAAGACACGGGAAAGCGTACATTTTTGTGTCTTACGTGTCTACTTAGCTCCAGTCGAACTGTTTGCGCCATAAATTTCAGTTCAGCGTTTGGCCTACCAAGACGAGCTGAAGTCAGAATATGTACGCCGTCTTTGCAAATGAATGTTTTGTGCTTTTGTTCTATTCAGGTGTGAAACACCTATTTTTCGTCTGTCTAGCTCACCTTTTCGCGCGAACGAACTGTGAATGTGACGTGCTTTAGGGAGTCCTCGAGCACAGTGGGCCTGTAAGAGGCGCTAAAGTCTTGGAACTCGACTCGTCCTTCCGTGGGCCACGTTGAGTCGACCAGGTGAAGTGGAGTCACAGCCGTGCCTTTTGTCGAGTCTGGCCCGCTACGCCTTTTTTGCTCGACGGCTGCCTTCTCTACCTCTGCCTGCGTTAGAAACGACGTATTCGGCACTGAAAACCTTGACCTCGAAACGGCAAAACAAAAGAAAAGAGCATCGATGATGTCTAGGCAGTTTCGGGGGAGATATTATGTTGGCGATGGAGGCGGAACTAAAGTAAACGTCACGACAGGACCATAGGGAGCCAACAACCAATGAACGAGCTGCAGATATTCAGAAATCTACCCAGGAACGTTTTTGCGGCTGAGTTGGTGCCTGAGTTTTCTGAACGTGTTCATTTCGCGCAAGGCTAAAAATGTAAAAAAGCACAGAGGAAAAATACAGAGAAGCGCCAAACTGCCAAGTGTTAAGTGCCGGCGAAAGTGGCAACTCAAGAAAACTTCCACGCGTTCGCAGTGGCGTTAAAGTGTGTAATCAACAAGTCAATGGGCAAACTGTCAAGTTAGCAGGATTTTTTGAATTGGTACAATACAAAAGAGGTGTGACCGACACCGGCGGACCCATTTTTTTATTATAAAGCGTTTTTTAAAGTTTACTCACCGTTCGGACAAATATTTGCCATAGTTTTAAGCTGGCTTGACATCTGGCGCATATGGACATGCCTTAACGTGCACCGGCAGACGCACACCATCACTTTTAACAATGGTATTGACCTCCTCCCTCAGGCAGTCATTAATTAATTTTTATATTCGACAGCTTACGTTTGGTATGTCAACGTCGCAATTTCATGCCACTGCGTATGCGTGAACAATTTCTTGATATCCGGCCTTTGCAGACAGTTATTAGTCGGCAACTAGGTGCTCCTCTGTGTCTTTCCTGTATCTTTTTTTTGAAATTTCAAATGCGAATGCAATTCTTAGTTGGGCTATGTCAGGCATCCGTCGGCATCCGTCCACTGCCTTCTCCCTTAAAAACAGCTGCGGGCGCAAGCGTCAACTGGAGCCCACACCTCCTTGACTTTAACGTTACTTGCCATCGCCTCAATGCAGTGCCTTCGAAACGCGTTTTTAGCGTTGGTGCTGACAGCGTTTGTGTAGCAAGTTTTAACCGTGAACGCTGGCTACTGGAGCTGGAAACGCGTACAGCGTTTCTCACGAGAGAAAAATGCCACGTGCGGCGATTGGCGCAATTTGCTGCACCGTGTAAGAAAAATAAATAACGCACTATTATTCTCACGCTGGCTTCTCACGTATGAAACTCCGTTATGTAGGCTACGCAATCCATTTTAATTTTTTCACAATTTCGTTCGGAGAGGTGCGGGAATTTTTTTTTTGCGCTGCGTCAGAATTAACGCGTTCAGAAAATTCAGAAGTGTCTTAGACATACGCAATCAAAACAAACGGAACTAAAGGAAGATGAAAGCTCAATATGAAAATATCTACACACAGAGGTGGTGCTCCAGCCGACGTTTCGAAAAGCGGACATCAAGGGTAGAGCAGACCTTTTCATGAGCGAAATAAAGAATAAAAAAATAGTGCCGACGAACCTCCGTACAGGCAGCCATTGTTTTTTAGAACCTTGTAGTTCAATAGCGCAATTGCCTCGTGTGTTTGTCTATTCATTTATCGATACAGCTCGCAAATATTCTGGCCCATGCAGGAGCGGCAATACAAAGACAAAGTGTTCACAACAGACTGACAATGCGAGAATAAAAGCGAACTGTACGTAAAATGAATACAATCTGTAGTATAAGATATCAAAAAACGCCTAATACTATAAGCCATCAAAGAAAGAAACACAAGCTCTGCGCAACACTTACACAGGTAAAAACTACGCCGCAAAACTCTTCAGAAGAGAGAACTGAACTGCATACAGCATAGAATTTATAACAAATTAAAAAAAGATTTGAAACACAACTCAACTTTATGCTGAATTTTCAGAAAAAAAGGTTTCCTAACTCCTCTGTAAATTTCCACTGGTTGTATGACATGAAAATATAAAAAATAACATTATGTTATGGTTCGCCGAAAAAAAAAACTCATGTGGGATTCGGTTTTGACAATATTGGCGTAAAAGAAGAATTCTATGTGTGTGTGTCTAGCAGACCATGTTTTTAAGGGAGCTGAAAGCGGGGCAAATGAAGGCCAGTTTCTCCTCCTATGATGTTTTGTATAGGAACTGTAGATAACTGAGATTACAGCGATATTAGAGTCAACTTATTCTATTGGTAAGCGTTAGTACTGACTGGAATCTTCAATATTTTTTGAAAACAAATACTTTGCACAGGCTCTAATTCATAGTGTTGTTTTTGGTGTCACAATTTCATAAATATCGTAAACGACTAATGTTAATATTTTGTGTGGTTGTTAGTTGGTTTCGTGGTTGAATGAGTCGTTGGGTGGGGATTTTTTCAAACAATTGGCGTGGTATTAGGGTAAGCAAAGCACAAAGGTGGTTAATTTGATTCTTCATGGCAAAAAGCTAACGTTTTGGTTGAATAGAAATCCTTAGCAGTTTGTTTTGTAACCGGTGTGTCGAGAGATCCGAGTCGCCACCCATTCTTTGACCATTATCACGTCCTACCTGTCACCGTGGTCTAGTGGCTAAGGCTCTCGACTGCTGACCCGCAGGTCGCGGGATCGAATTTCGGGACCTGCGGCACCTGCGGGATTCAAATGCTTGAGTCCAGAACCCCAAGTGGTCGAAATTTGCAGAGCCCTTCACAAGGGCATCTCTGATATTCATATGTCAGTTTCGGGACGCTAAACCCCAATAAATATTGTTCTTATTATTCCCATGCCCTGACCACCAGACGAGCCTCAACAAATCTAGTGCTGCTACTTATTATGACCTCTTTCTAGCGCCGTCTTCAGTGTGCGACGAAACGCTTATGAAAAAGCCCTCCCAAGTTCCTGCTTCCCTCCAGCAGCCTTTCTAGATGAAATGGCATAAAATTCTTTGAGGTTGAACAGCCTAATACGTCTAACTTGTCTGGTTTACCAGACAGTGTCTGGTTTACACAGTGTCTGGTTTACCTCTTTCGGCAACTCCGTGAACTCGATGTCACGCTCCAAAGCTACCAAAATTTGCGTCATCCCCAGGTAGGTTATGCAGAGCATGGACATAGTCGTTGGAATCTGTCGAAAAAAGAAACAATGCATTTGCCCATATTGCCCAAACCATTTCAAAAGTGAAGCATTTATAAGCAAACTTCGGTGACTTTGAGCATATCTATCTATCTATCTATCTATCTATCTATCTATCTATCTATCTATCTATCTATCTATCTATCTATCTATCTATCTATCTATCTATCTATCTATCTATCTATCTATATATCTATCTATCTATCTATCTATCTATCTATCTATCTATCTATCTATCTATCTATCTATCTATTTATCTATCTATCAAGCCACTTAAAGCTCTAACTCTCCTGGATGTTTCGATAATCGGTTCTATACCCGAAATGGTGTGGCGTAACCAGGCTGTATGAACTATATGACGAGTACAAGTTACTTGTCGTAACATGAAAAGAATGACGTGTATGCCATGAATGGGATAACTTACATGTTATGACTTTGCTGCTTTACGATGGTTTCGTTTACATTACATTTTGCAAAACTAGTATGGTATGACATGACTGCATGCCGAAAATGAGTGACAGGCCATAACGTGAAATTTATGACATGTTTGCCGCGTAACACATGACTACACGCCACGCTCACGTTGCGCTCTCGCTCGCTTCGCGCTCTCACTAGCTTCAAATGTACCACATTTGGTATCACGAAGGTATTCGACTAGTGCAAGCATGATAATAATTACACGCGTTTCATGTAAGGGCATGACATCATGCTACACTAAAGATGAGCTCGCAGCCGTTTCGCTAGCTTCACATATGCCAAATTTAGTATTGCGTGACGTGAATGGACAGCGAAGGTATGTGACATGTAAAAATGATAACTATGACATGTGTGTCACTTAAGGATGTGACTACATGCCGGGCTGACGATGCGCTCACGGCCATTGCGCTTACTTCAGTATATCAATTTTGGTATTATGTGACGTGAATGGACGACGAAGGTCAATGGCATATCCAAACATGATAATCATTCATGATATGCGTGTCATGCAAAACATGACTACATGCTACGCTAGTAGCACGCTCATGAACGTTTCGCCAGATTAACAGGTACGAAAAGTGATATGCGTCACGTGAATAGATTATGAAGACAAATGACACGTTCAAACATGATAATCATGACAAACGTGTCATGTGAAAACATGACTACATGCTACGCTCATTATGTGCTCTCGGCTGTTTCGCTAGCTTCACACATACCAAAGTAGGAACTAAGTGACGTGAATGAACAATGAAGGTAATTGAAACGTCTAAAATGATAATCTAGGCATGTGTGTCATGTAAATAATGACTACATGCTACGCTCATAGCACGCTCAAGGAACTTTCGCTAGCTTCACATTCACCAAATTCAGTATTACGGGCGTGAATGAACTATGAACGCAAAGGCTAGGTGCAAACTTGAGAATCATGATACTGAAGTCATTTACGGCACGATTTACGAGCGCCTAGAAACGTTGTGCTGAATTTAAAGTAACATATCAACTTTCATCATTCGGGCTTCGTATATTATTGATACCAACTACACGTGAAATGTACCATTTTGTTTCATGAAATTTGGTGTAGTCGTGCCGGCATGTAATTATTCAATCAACCAGTTTCTATTATTACGAGGAAAGCATTATTTGATAAAGAATTTAAAAAATTCTTACGTGGTCCTGACGTGAACGAAGGGAGCAGACTTCAGGTAGAAGACGAAACTGTTTATTTTGGTCGAACTTGTGGCCACGCGAAAGGAAAGTTAGTTTAGAGCAAGACACTGGCACTGATAGCGGCGTACACAGCGTGAGTCGTCCATCAACTGACAAACATCGAAGCGTACTGGCATTTTTGACCTTGCCATCAAGTTTTCTACCGTTATTGCTAGCAGCGACGTGGGTTCTATAAATACGATGTTCACCAAGTGGGCTTCACAAAATGATCTACAATAATCATGAATTTTCCAGAAAAGTGTAGCACAGTTTGGCTCGATGTGGAGAGAAGTATTTTCTTGAAGAGGGTGCCATTATACCACAACAACGACAATAATTCACGCTTGAACACCTTTTAAAAATTGGCAGCCTTGCCCTTGAGGTATTCCACAAGGCCCTTGATTTCAGGGTGGGCATGCTGTCACTCTGCAAAATCATTGACGTTGATGGTTCACAGAAAGCAGTCGCAGTTCTCGTTGTCCTGCAGCGGTGGGTCAACGGGGACGCGGAACAGGCAATCGGCGTCAGAAAGCCTTGGCCCTGACTTGTAGACGACGGTGATGTCGAATTCCTGAAGTCACAGACCCCATCGTGCGAGGCCACCTGAAGGATCCTTGAAGTTAGTTAGCCAACAGAGTGCATGGTGGTCACTCAAAACTTTGAAAGTTCTGCCATAGAGATAGCAGCAAAGCTTGGAGGTAGCCAAGATGATGGCAAGAGACTCCTTTTTTGTTGTGGAATAGTTGACTTCCATCTTAGATAGCGACCTGCTCGCATAATCAATGAGCCTTTTGAGCCCACACTCTAAGGCAGAGTTACCCGAAAAAGGAGCAACGGAGCCCATTAGGCGCTCGCGATGAACGTATAGACTAAACAACCACACGGGGAAGCGCGCGCGATGAACGGATGAACGGAGCAACCACAGGGGGAAGCGTGCCGTGCGATACTACTTAGTCTCCAAACACGCTTCACTGGGGATGAACCACCCGGGGATTGCAGGCAGTGCAAAAAGCGTTGCCAAGGTGACCACCCTCCTTCTTCACAGAACACAAATCCTTATCCTCTTCTGCTGGCTCAGTTCTTCCACGTATTTTGCCGGCGACGGTTCACGTTGAGTCGCGCTCAGAGTGCTCGAAAACGGCCGCATGGTTCGACAATATAAGAATTACCACGTGGTTCTTGTGTGTACACTTCGATGAGCGTGGGCTCCTGTTTTTGAGTTTCGCTGCATCCATGAAGTCTGGAGCAAGCCTCGACACATCACCACGCCACGCTGTGTATCTTCAAGATAGTCACGTTCAAGATAGTCACGTTCAATGAGGCTTCACGTTCAATCACGTTCAATAGGCTTCAAGATAGTCACGTTCAAATCACGACAGCAACAGTTGGGAAGGCCAATATGGCGTCCGAGAAGACAACAGGACTATCGAATATATACTTCATCCCGACTCAGGGCAGAAAACAGCACCGGATTCTAAGGAAAGCAGGTTATCATTCTTTATTCTACTCTACTTGTCGTGTGTGCGATACGAATCACGCTTGCCGGCAACGGGCTCGGATCGTATTGCATATCGCAAGCACGAAATTCTTCAGAAAGGTCAGCTTCGGCGTCTGCAGTTCACCTGTGCTTTGCGACCACCTGTAAATTGGCCGCCATTGCCGTCGGCATCCCGTACGCTCGCTCGAGTGCTCGCCTGTCTTCGCCGACGCGATGAGCTCCGAGCTGACAATTTTAAGCTGAGATCTCGTCGCTGTGTTGGGAGTCGTCGAAAACACGTTGCAGGTTCTCGTAAAGAGCTTGGTTGTAGTATGTCGCGCGCTGTAAGTGCACCAGCTCGGGCTGGCGGGACTTTCCCTAGCAGTCGGAACTCACTGAAAATTAGTCAGCCATTGCATTTAGCTTTCCCTTCAGTCAGTCGCAAGCATCTCGGCACCGTCCGCTGGCCATTGCGGCAGGCTTGCGTTTCCGCACTGCACTCACTCGAGTTTGTGGAAAAGGGCCGCATTACCGTCGATTTTTTATGCGCTATCTCCAAACTAGCTCGGCGTGTTCGTGTCGGCAGGCCAAGCGTACGCTCGCTCTCCTGTTCGAAGTTCTTCGGCGGCAGACACTCCACGCGCAGCATCGTGTTTGGTCTCGCCTTCGCTTACTCGAGCTGAATGACGTCAGCCTAGGACTCGCCGACTTGTTAGCGGCATGGTGTTCACGGAGTTGTGGCTGCGGCCGCCGCTGCAAACTGTTACGCTATGGGGATCGCAATGAGTTTTAGGCGATGTGTGACATCACGGTGAAATTATTAGCATGTCATATCTCACTTAAGTCTCAATTTCACCTTGCACTTATTTCTCATATGCAATTATATTCATCCTCTGTCACGTGTGACTCACTATTTTACATGCTTATTGTGCAGCCTGGGGCACACACCGTGCTGAAGACTGTGTGCGCTGGTGTCTGCGATGCCTGTCATCCATATCTTATGTCAGAGCAGCTTCAGGAAGGGTTGTGCGGGATGTGAAGGTATAGTTATTTGTGGGCCTTATTTTACCACTTGTTTTCATATGAACGTGCACGTATTTGTCATATGCGTGCATCTTCATCTTCTGTCACGTGTGTCTAACTATTTTTATTATATTATTGTACGGGCAGCCGCGGGAACACAACAGGCAGAAGGCTGCGTGAGCTGGCGTCTGCAATGCCTGTCTGATATCGCTTGCGCCGGAGGAGCTCCCCAAGGAGTGAACAAGATTTGACAACGAGACTGGACCTGTACACTTCACCCAGAATTCACTTTAAAAAATGCAGAAACTTTATGGGTATGTAGAAAAATAAAAGATTTCGGTGTCTCAATTTTATCTTTCGTTGTTGCCGTGACTGCGAAAGCAGTTACACATAGGTGCCTAACTACTTTTTCGCGTGTCCTTTTCTGCACAATTATGTTGCCCACGGCGCAGAAAAACAGGCGAAAAAAGAATTAGGCCTGGCGGAAAATAAAGAAAAAAGCCATTGTTTGAACTGGGAAGAAATAGTTCATCCGATTGGAATATTTGAGTGGCTCAACCATTCGTCCAGCGAGGCTGCAACTGTGAGGATTAGCGGTTGCCCGGTAAGGTGTATTTGTGTGAATAACAGTTGCTCTAAAATGTGCAAAAATGAGGCAATAAATGTTATTCCTTTGAGGTATAATGTGGGAGGGACGGTTACTCACTAAGGTGTATTGGTGAGGACTAAATGTTTGTCCCTAGAGATCATCTGAGGGGACTAACTGTTAGACCCAGTGTTGTTAGTCCTTAATGAGATT